ATGCACTAAGCGCAATTGATTCAACCGCACTGGACAGAGAGATGCTTCGTCCTCCAGGACGATCGATACTTTCTAAGCGGAGGACAAAAAGCAGGTAAACGTAATCCAACTGTTGGAAATGAATTCATGAAAAATAAAAAATAAAACGTCACTTGAATATTCAATGCAAATAATAAATATAATGGACTATTCGGACCTCAATGCAAATATTTTACAATAATTGTATTTTTTTTATTATATTGTTTTTAAAATAACATTGGACCAAATTTATGAGGAAAAACAAATAAAATAGCATTTGTAAATATTTATGTGTATACAATGAAAATTATTAAAATATAATTATATAAATTTATTTTCATGAGATTCACGAATTTTATTATATACAATGTTTGCTTGTCTCTAGTATTTCAATATGTTTTGTGTGCAATGAACCAATAATTTCTTGGTATTCATCTATGACTACAACAACAACAACATTTCCGTTCTGTATTTATTGATTCTTTTACTTCCATATTTTTGTGTACATCCGTGCATTTATAACAAATGAATATATAAATATGTATTTATTGGGGACACGTAATAAGCCGCAAGGTTTTTGAGATCAAAAGAAAGGAGCAAAAAAATGATATTCATTATTCACGATGTAAATTTTCTAAGACAAAAAATATATATTTCTTCTCTTGAAAAACATTTCTTTTTAATAAATGCGCTGCTGATTTCGTAAAAAGCCGACAGGAAATTACTTGGTTTATATTTTTTCAAAATACAGTAAAACCTCGTTTTACACTGATTCGATATAACGCCTAAAATAACAAACAGCAATGTTAAATTTACCTATTTACTATACGTTAATATGACTTCGTTTAACGTTGTTTCACTTATCGTTGTTGGCATCTTAAGTGCTAAAATGTAGATTAATTATGTCTATTTTTCTTATTTATCCTGAAATTATATATACAGCAATACTTCAGCTAGTGCGGCTAATCGCCAATAACCAGGACTAATCGAAAAACCGTATTCAAATGAGCAGCACAATAAGAGACATGACTTTATAGAGAGAGAAAACGATTATTTATGTATAAAAATAATTTTGTCCATATTTTTTTAAATTTTACTCAATTAAATATAGTTAATTCTATAGAGAATCCACACTGATCAAAGCTGTATATAAAAATAAAGTAAATTTCGTCATTATTCTCGCTTTTTATCAATTGTTCACAAACTCGCAGATGCGTTGATATATTTAAATATTGTAAAACCGCTTTGTTTGAAAGCGTTCGTGAGAGTGCTTAATGTCTTAAGACGCTCTCTACGCATCATCACAGCTCATATCTAATCCATTTTACAAGTGTTTAACTCTACTTGATCCGCGAGGAATGGGGGAAGTGAAACATTTCAAACGTTTTTTTCTTAATTACACGAAAATTACGTAACTTTCGTTGCATTTCATGATTGCGTAAAATGGGAGCCATCCTTACGCAACGTTTTATGAAATAAATGTTTCGGAATGTTTGTTACGTAACAGATACAATAGGGTTTTTTCGTTTTTTTTTAAGAATTCCGTGAATTTCTGGACAACCTCTTAAGATAATTTCATGATCGACCTAACCTAACATATCTTTTTTTTGTAGAGGCGAAACCGTGGTACTGTGCGATTCTTACGCAACAAAACCTAACCTAATTGATTTTAGACAGGATTTTGTGGATCTGGTTTTAGGTCAATGGAACAATTTAATTGATATTTATTACGACTCATTTTGGTTATTTTGTTAGTAATTTATATCGAAATATGTTAGGAATCGATTATGTTCAATGATAATTGATGTAGGTGTTGTGTACTTTCGCACATGTCGTGTCGTAATAACAGCACTTGCAAGTTGTGTGTGGTCTGAAAAGGAGGTAGACATAATCCTGCGGTTAGGATCTAGGACATCTTAAAGGGGGTAGGATGGGAAATATGAAAGCGGCTGTACACACAAACACATTCAGCCATAACTAAATTTATAATTACTGTGAAATTACTAGAACTAGGATTATGTTTTCACGTAAGCCTGGGTGAGATTTAAGTGCGGGCAGTGACCGTGCACACAGTGAACTTTAAATAATTGAGCGGAGATTTTCAGCTTTCCGCTGAAAAACGTATTCCGCGGGATTAAGTTGCCTATATAAAATGATGAAGGGTGGGGATCCGCTTACTTCGTTTTAGGAAAATAAGAAGGATTCGCTGCCTGCCCTTCAGCACGCTATTAAATGGAAACATATCATTACAGCAAAGATGTTCTGGTCCTGACTCGAAGGGCTTTATGTCCTACACTAATTAGTCGCTCTGAATACACGGCAATAGTAATTCATGCGCGACCTGTTTACGTTTACCCTAGGATCCGAAATTCGGAGGATGAACAAGAACAATTCTCAATACAAGCCGCTCCCCGCTGACACATGCACCGTCTCCCCAGGATCCCCGATCTAATAAACGGCCCAGACACTTCACGGATACACACCACTCCTCGGGATATTGAACATTTGGCAACGTCTCCAAAAAATTCCTCGCTAGCATGATTCATTAGGCAATCCCCGAAGGGAAGAAGACCCACTGTTTATACTACGATAAAAAAAAGCGTTTGATTGCGACTACATGATTAATCCCCTATCTCAATAAAAAAAATCACAACTTCAACATTTATACTTATTCCAATTCAAGGATATATTTTTTAAAGCTACACAGATTTAACTTTCCAAATGTCTTAATTTCTAGCTTAAATTAAGATTATCGAATGATTATTCTTCTCCAAATCTCTTAACTTAAATTTGTTTCTTGAACGTCAATTAACTAGTATATACATCATAACTTAATCATCATCTATACTAATTCCAATACATAATTCTTATATATAATTATTTATAAAGTTCTGTCCGCAGTAACGTACATATATTCGTTTGTACGTACAGTATTGTTAGCTCACTGTATATTCACTTCTAATGAAATAATATCATGTATTGACTAATATTAAATCGAAATATTTTACAAAATTTAAATATTTTCATTCAAGTGCTATCCTTATATCGTTAATATTACATTGATAAGTAGTTTTCGTCCTTATGATACGTCTCTCTCATGATTGGAAGTTCTCATCATTCTAGCAATATCCCTGACGTCGTGTTTATGGAAACGCTTGACCTCTCAGCCAAATGTCCTCCAGCTCTCTACTCCGGATATCTAGGATGTCGTCCTTGTGGCTAGGTCAATCCGACTTGTCCTTCCCTTCGAACTTCACACATTTACTTTACAAACATATCACCAGTAACTCATATGTACATTTCATTTAAATCATTTTTCGTATTTAAAGCCTCGCATAGTGCGACTTCAATCAAAGCGGATTCATTACAGTACGGTTTGAAATTTTCACAACAAGCTAAATTTCAGTTTTTTTCTTATTTATTTATGTATTTATTATTTTTTTAAGCTTTTGTTGTATTTACAATCACGTGTATTATATATGAGATAAAATGATTAAATATTGAATCAAAATCATACTTTGAAAGATATGTATTTTTGTAATAAAAATTTACTTTTGTATTGTTGATTTTATTTTATTAATAATACAATAAATACGTTGGTTTTCGATGCAAATATTTTCATTATTATAACGAGCAAGTGATTAGTTCTAATTTCTGAAAGACCGATAATGGCCAGTCGGAAAATGTGGCAGCAGTTGAGTGGAAAACCATTACGGGCAAAAATCGTCGACGCCGCTGATTTCCTCCTTTTTATGCCGTTTTTTTCTCTGTCTTTCTCTTTTTTTTTGTCTGTCCTTTGACTGCCTGCGAATCTTCAGAAGCAATTGATGCAATCTACGTCCTCAAACTGAAACGCATTTCATTTATTTCAATACACTGCTTCGTCCCACCTAATTGAAATAATTACACAGCAATTACTGTAATATCAAAAGCCTAAAAGATGTCCGCAACAGAAGAACAAACAAAGCGTTTCATGACCAATTATATTATTTATATCTTTTCATTTATATTTGAGTTATTATTTAAATGTATGTTTGAATTTTTTAATAAATTTTATAATAATTAAACTGTGATTATCACCTAAACGGATAGTGAATGTATTGAGATTGCTGCACTTTAGCAATCTGACAGAATCGTTGTTCTGATGAATAATCATTGGAGATAAAACTATAAATTAAATTTCATAACAATGTTTGTACCATTATTATATTTCAAACTAAGCGAGTTGCCGTGCGCTGAAAGAATTTATCCTGAAACCCATCGGTTTATGAAAAACAATTCTCCATTAAAAAGGACTAGCAAAAACTTGAGTTTATTTATTACATATTCATATTAAGAAACAAAAAAGGATTTTTGGAATTTGTTACATATCTATTGTTTATTGCATTTATCTGTTATTAACATATTAAATAAGTTAGACAACAGTCTGAGTTGGTCTCAGTTTTCGAACGATTAAGTTTCAGAATATAAAAAAAGGCCATCGGTTCCCGAACAAAATTTCGGTCCTCAGCACTGACATCAGTATAACAGTTTCGGGTTTCGAACAGAATTTATAAACTATTTATGTTTAACAACTATGTTTTTTTTTGTAGAAAAAAAAATATAGAAAATCGATCAATTCCTAATCTTAATAGAGTTGAGCTACACTCCCTCTTAATTCTCACGTTTGCTTGATTGAACATTGTACGAGTGGTAGAAACATGATAAGTTCTCTATTTTATATTCTTAAATCCGAGAAGTATTGATTCCTCAAAATCAATACATAAGTAAACATTACAATTAATTATTTTTTAATGACATTTACAAGTAAAGTAAACTTTATTATACACTTAATAAAATACAGCGAAACCTCGCATAGTGCGGATAAGGAAAATTTTAGGGAGGATTTTGGATTTAAACAACAACGCATTTCGTTTCATATATTCACATATATTGATATAATTTATATATATTTATAGTTATACAACGAAACAATTATAGACACATATAAAAAATATATAATAACTAGTATTGTAGATAATACCAGTAATAATAACACTTATATTTCAGTAATAGAATGTAATTCATGGGTTCAGCAGTGCAGTTGCCTCCTCGTAGGTTGGCGGAGCTGCAAACAGTATTTCACGTTGTAAATCACAATAAGGGATGTTTATAATTCTCGTGCGTTACTTACGCGTAGTCTTCTGGTTATCAGATGTACTAGCTTGGGATGCCTCGAAGGTTGGTGGCCCTGAAAAGGCCGGATTGTAAGCTGGAGCCGGTTCCATCGAAGATGTCGACGGCCCCGGTTGTGGCTGCGGCTGCAACCTGGTCTGCCTATGGCCCTCTGCAACGGCCCTTCCGTAACTGGGCAACCCTTGCGTCTGAGTCAGTGATAAATTCACCCCTTCTAAAGGGACATGTCCAATAACAATCGGAATCGCCGCAGTAATATTTCTGTGCGGACAGGGTAGAACTACCTTCACCTAAAGACAAATACATTCCATCACCACCATTTATAACCGCCGGATTTATAACCCACAGAAAATACATCTTGCACATTCGAATTGTGAACGTATATATGATTCATAATCTTTACAATCGCAACCAAGCGTGAACTATTTGATAATCGTTTAAAATATGTGAGCTAACGTGATAAGATCATTTTCAAACTAATACTACCATTACTATTGAATTTAAATAAATCATCGTTTAAAAAATGTGACCTCACGTGACAAAACCAGATTCAATATTTTCAAACTATTTAATTTTATATTACTAAGCTCCAAACATTAGAAATCCTAAATATTTTAATTACATTAATGTAATATTATTAACTTCACATACTGAATTAACTAATTCACTTTCACAGTTGTGATTAAGAATATGAAGATAATATTGTATGTAAGTTTTCTAACCTTCACGTTTCATCCATAAAACTATATTCACTATATCATATTATTTTTACATTTTAACTATACCAATGTGAACTCACGTGACTACTAAAATATATACCTTTTAGTTCTAAACTTTTTATATTTTTCAATTTACACTAATATTTTCTTTGATTTTTATGTAATAGTATTAATTAAATATTGAATGCATAATAAATAGCTTCAATATTTTAAATGCTTTAAGTTGCGTAAATTACGTAACGGAACAAAGTTTAAGTTCCAAAATGTTTAGTAATTTCAAACTAATACTAATCTTTAAACTTGATTAATAATAGGGATACAAAAATTCGCTTCAGCCTATGCATTTTAACTACACTAATATAATATGAGGCCGTGACCTTAAATTTCCACCTGAGTTTAAGTTTGCAACGTTCACATTAGGTTACAACCTCAGACGAGCAGATGAGTTTCTTGTTTATATTCCAAAGTTTTGGGTAGTTCCAAACTTATATTAATTTTACCAATCAAAATAATATTTCTAATTTTTAAGAAAACAATTTACATTAAGTCGTGAGCTCATGTTACAAACTAAGTTTTTTTAATTTAATTCTATGATTTTTAACGTCTTGAACATACAAGCATTATCAAATTTAACAAAAGTCTATTTAAATTCTCACGTAATTCTCAAATCAAAATATGCCAATTGAAAAATTAAATGCGTTCATTTAGATTCGTAGAATTGAAATGCAAACAAGATGAATGGAGGGTCGAGTAAGTGTGAACGTATTTCAATTTTTAAATGATGATGAGCTTCAAAACAATTGCCAATTGTGGACATTCAGTTCAATTTATTTTAATTTGGTTCAATTAACAAAAAAATTGGGCAATTATTTCGAAAATAGGTGTCACTTTCTTTAAACTCGAATGCCAGAATATGTATTTTGTACTTTTGATACTATTTTTCATGACACATTTATTTGTAACCAATTTCATATCTTTTACATATTATAATATCAAATTTCATAATATTTTTGATACTGAAAAAAAAAAGACAAACCTGTCTTCGCAGATAGAAGATATGCGATTGGAATTAGGAAGATCTTCCATATCCCTCGATATTGCCCCATCAAACCTACCATCCCTTTCAGTCGCTGCAGCCGTTTCGGATAGAATAAAAATCAATACTCCGGACGATTTGAAACAAGCACAAATTGAGATTTCTGCACCCAGCGTCGGCTAAAGTATTATTGGGGACAACTGCAGAAGCAATCAATGATAATTCGATGATTCCAATATAGCTTCTGAACTTAATACTCGTTGTTTAGCGTTCCTTGGGACACCAAAACATAAAGTTTGTCAAGCGCATACCAGATCAATACCAAATTTAATTATTATGTGAATACATAAACAGGAATATAATTTCAATTACTATACTTTAATTAAAATTACTATTATATAAGTGCAAATGCATGTAATATCTTAGTACATGTAACACAATTATTATAAACTTTAACAAGTTGCTTTTTTTTTCATAATAGTTCTCTACTTTCCAGAATTCACATTAGTTATAGTTAACACATAAATTATAACTTTGAAACTATTTATTTTTTATCTAATAAATTTATATGTGTGCGTTCTACAATCTATAGGCTGTTGAACCTTACCGAAGACCATATAAAAATGTAACAAAAACGTGTCACGGTTAGACGGACTCCTCGAGATATTGTGTCTCACAAAGTGGATGTGTCAATAAGGTCCAATTTGAAGGCGCAAATAGGACCGTAAGGATAAACAAAATTATATTAAATTATTGCTACAGTTTATACTTTATAGTCCTACACTATCTAAGTCATTGTAGAGCTTGCAGGAGTAAAATATAGGTTTATAGTGAAGTTTCACACGACCCAGTACTGTGGCAAGAGTATCAACAAAAAAGGAAACAAGTAGAAAAAGGATGTTTGTTGTTTGATTTTGACTAGTTTCATCGTTTGAAAGGTATCATTATAGGAAATGTTTAGCAGAATTTAGTATTTAAAATTAAAATGCTAAAGGATGTTGAAGCAAATGGAAGACGCATATGTACAGGATGCTAGTAGGCTGAAGAAGAAGCTTGGGTGGAAAAATACGTGCGTAAATACTCAATAGAAATATTATATTTATACTATACCTCGATGACGTAGGACACTTTCATGATGTTACAGTTGTTCAAGTTCGGTACGAAGTAGGTTTGAGGTATGACGAGAGCAAGTTCGTAGGTTTTTTCACCGTTGGCGCCGATTCCACTGTCTGTTTTCTTTGTGATAACTTCATAAGCGGTCTTGGTTTTGGTGCGAGGACTGCTGCTCATGAAGTCGTTGCGCTGCGAAAGAAGATAGAAAATACGATGTGGGATAATGATCTAGGTCTCTGGATCTGCAACATCTATTGTTGGTATGTGCATGTAATGTGCATTATCTCGATGCCGTATAATTAGTGCATATGATACGTTGCACGCCGTGATCCACTGTGATCTAGCATGCAGACTAATTCGTAATTAATGCAAAACATATGGTGAATAGAAGTACCTGGATCAGTTTGAATTTCACGGTGTCCAGATTACTGTTGGTAAGATTCTCCACGTGCAAGTAGATCGGCACCGGCTGACCAGCGACGAAACCGGTGATAGCAATATTTGCCTCGACAGTAACAGCTCCCTTCTTGAAGAACATACAGCACAGATTCTTTTTCTTATGGAAATTCACAGGTACCTGCAGATCAAAATTATTATAATTTTTACAAATTTTAGACCTGTCGGTGTCGACATATTTTTTAAACCGTGTAAGAGCGAAATCGTGTAAAGAAAGTACCGAGTAAAACTAAGGATAGGTTACTTTCAACATTTATTTTATAATTCATTTTTTAAGCGTGTAAAAGGGAAAACGTTTAAAGAAAATACCGTGTAAAACGAGGGAGAGATTATTTTCAACATTTTTTTAAATTTATAGCGAAAACGTGTAAAGAAATATCGTGTAAAACGAAGGATAGGTGTATTTGTATTTGTGTCAAATAGGTTTGGGCTCACTATTGTGTGACCTTTTCCAACTCAATGATTACGAAAGTTTTGATGAGGTTATAATAATTACGCAAAGCTGTATACCCAACCCTTTACAATTCATACGTAGAGTACAGAAACTAATTAACATTGGAAATTAATCGATTATTTTGTTATTCATAGAAATTATTAGTGCGCTTTCGAGATATTGTCAGAACCGCACAATGCGAGGTATTTTATTATCGATTATTTGTTTTCAAATTTTGAATAAATATCAGTTCGGTCATTATTTTTAAGTTAATTAACAATAATTAACCAAACCTAATTAATTTGTCTTCTGGTTTCCGGTATACTCTTCGATAATGCAGAAGAGGAAAGTAAAGGACCTACACCAACCACAGTTAGCATCACAACAGACTTTTAATAAATTATAAATCGATGCTAGGACAAATATAGGGTTAGTTGGACGTTTCAAGGACAACGTCAAATTTGCCGCGGCTTACTCACCCTGAGTGTTGGATTCAAATTCAGATTGATGGGAGAGACGAGAGTGAACTCGGACTCCGCCTCATAATCAAAATCGAAGAAGGGTCGCTTCACCGAACCCTTTATCATATATTTCACCTTCCCATGTTGTCCACGAAACGAAGAAGGCAACAGCAACGGCAATGTAAACGTGAACGGATACTTGTGCACGCCACGTTTCACAGTTACCTCACTCACATCTGCGAACAAAACAATAACAACAACAACAAAACAAACAAAAAATGCACTTAAAAACTCGATCCCGACTCTATCTCGCTTTCACTCCCTTTCATCGCGTCAGCTATCTCTTCCTTTATTTCTTCTGTCTTTATCCCACATATATATATATATCTAGCTGAGATAGGCCCATCTGGTCTTTAGTAGCAAATAAGGGCTATCCAATGATCGTTACTTTCCCCTAGCCAGCAATGTTTCACCTCCGGAGAGAAAAAAAGCGAAGACAAAAAAAAAGCATACACACACAGAGAGTCAGAAGCGTTAAGGATGGAGGAAGGAGATAAAAGTTTTGTGAAGGAAAGAACGTAATCGATAATTAGAGCAAAAGTAATCCAATCGAGGAGTCGGATGCACCGTATTATTTCGTATCCGGATTACCCAATAACATAATGCTGTGGAGGGCCGAAGACGAAGACTTTCGCAACTCGCTTTTAATTGCTTCATTTGCGTCCCGACGGCTTTCTGAGCTTGACACAAATTTAACCATTAACTTTAACTTTGCAGGTCGGTTCCATCTCTTGCGCTCATTTTTTGTTTCGTTCCGTGGATGCCTGCCAGCATCTCGTTAATCAAGTCTGAAACCATCAACTGCGGCTCTCGCCGCAATAAGAGTTCAACTCGTGTTTTACCCTTTTTTTTTTGTCTTCTTCTTCTTTTTATAATATCGTTCGAGCTTTTTCTTTTTTAGTCACTGCAAAAGTTTTCGTTTTATCAACGAGGCGAAACCACAAAAGTAATCTTTTATAAATTAACCGATTTACACAACATTCTTCATCTGTGCAAAGTGTACAAAAATTTTGTGTTAAGAGAAAGGAACTACAAACATCTAACGAAAATATAATTTCTTCATTATTCATTCCAGTTGAGTTACTATTTTTTTTATACAAATATCCAATATTTACTTCTAAAATAATGTAAATAATACATAGCTACACTATGAATATATAATACGAACTAGGATAATGCAAAATCAACCAATGACTAATCTAGTGATTATCTATAATTATCACCTATAGAACTTTGTCGTTTGGTGTCGGTTTATAAAAAATGATTTGTCAACAAATTAGGATAATTATAGCACTTTGTCGGTTAGTGACGATTTATAAAGAAAATAAAGATAATTAACACCAAGAGTTTGTTCCAATCTAGTATCAGTAAAGTAAAAACTAAGCTTATGTAATTATATTAATAAAATTTTCAAAAGAAAAGTTCAATCAAGAGCTAAGCCCTATGCAAAGCAACTTTTTAGCATCTCGTGTCCACATTGTCAAAGGAGCCCGTGGAAAATACATATCCATATGTAGCATATATGAAAAAAAGTAGCATACAGTGGATTTAAAATTTACAACACGAATTTATATGAATTAATTAAAACCTTTATTTCAGCAATAATTAATTTAATTAATTAGACACAATTATGAGAAAACTTTTTCCGTCCTCAGAATTAATTTCTTTCATAAATAAATGTATATAATAATATGAAAACAGAAATAAAATATTAGTAAAAAAACGAACTAGAAAAAAAAAACTTAATTAAGATGGAAATACTGCAGTATTAATAAGGTCAGCTCGATCAGATCCATACTAAATGAGACTTCAATCATTTGATTTGTGATTTGCTACAGCCATTCAATTTATTAAGTAATTTACGTATATATAAATATAGATTCAATATAGAAATCCATATTTTTTTCCTCAATTATTGTAGAATGTCCAGTATGATTGATGATGGCAGTGCATTAATATTTTCATGCGAATTTTGCAAATCCATAAACTAAAAGTGTTTATTTTTATATCAAACAAAAAAAAACTGCACATGCAGCTACGTTTTTAACATCATATTTTAATGTTTGTAAAATAAAATAATAATAAAAATATAATTATTAAAAGTTTTGATGATTTTATTAGTTATTTAACAGCAAGTTAATTCAAAAGCCTACGCATACACATTTCGCCATTTAGGATAAATTATATAGCTTGACACCAATTGAATTATTAACCATCCATCTTCTTATTTATATGTTTGTCTAGTAGGTGCCTCAAGCAACTCGTTAATCAATCCTGAAATCATCAACTTGTTATTCTCTCCTGTAACGTAACTCATTCGCATGTCTTTAATATTTAACATTTCCAATTTGTTTTTGAAGACTTAACGAAAAATAATGATATTTTCCTAAATATTTTCTTTCAAAATTAGTAAAATTTTCATCTTCAGATAATTTTCATAATTTTCGATAATATTTAATTAGAAACAAAATATGGCTAATGACCTTTGTTCTCGATGTCACAAAAATTACACAATGAAAAATAAATATGCTAAATTATGCACAGAAGTCATGACCTTGTTATTCTATTTATACTTAATAAACTACGCAATTGTGTTATAATCATTGAAGACATTGATTGGAATCAATTCGGTTTCATATTCTCTTTTTATTGTTTATTGTATTAAACTTTGATCTTGACTATTAAAATCAACTGGCGTTCCATAACAACTATAACGCGTTATCAATAAATTAATGCATTTATGCAATAAGAAAAATTATGCAAAATATAAAATATTATGAATTACAAAATATACAAATTTGTTATAATCATTTAGCAATAAATCTAACTTTTTCATTATGAATTCAACAAAACCTGCTGTTTCGATTCACAATAATACGAAATGAACAAAATATACAAAATTATTTTTTGCTACAGTCCTCGATTAGTCCAGTTTCCAACAGTCCGGAATAGATTACCGTGGTATTTCTGAATTTCATTTAACGTTAAAAGTATGACTTTATTAAATAAAATTGTGGATTTTCTTCCAATTTTGATCCAGTATTTCCATCCTCTCAATAATATTTATCCAGTTAATAAATTTATAATATTTTCTTAATTAATAAACATTTTTGTTGTTTTTTTTGTTTATCTATACGTAAAATTAATATGTAAAAATTGCAAAGGTTAACTTGAAAGAATTCCGCGCCATAGCTGTGTTTTTTTTATTGTTATTTGAGGTAACCAATAAACAAATATATTTATTATTTGGGGGACTTGAAAAACCGGTTTTTAGAAATACCAGGTTTCGAAAAGTGGTTTCTTGAAAAGATGTTTTATTTTTGTATAAACTCTATCAATGATTTAGATGTCATAAAAATGCATCAACAGTTCGGTCTTTATATCAGAAACACGTCTCGTCTTTAGAAGAGACTCTCTTCGGTTAAATATAACATGAGAATTTATACTAAAAGCAATGGACATTTCAGAGAAAATTGCTGCCTTGTTTTTGTTTCTTCTTTTTAGCATGTCGAGTAAGAGACATCGATTATACATCACTTCCAATGTAGTTTAAAAAAAAATAGAAATATATTCTGAATGTAAAGCAACAGCCTTTTTCCATCATGCTTTTAGTTTGTCATTGTCGTTACTTCTTTCCATATTAAAAATTGAATACAATGAATATGAAATATGACTAAGAACTATTGCATGTTAACAAAGTATTATATTCAGTTTACAAGTGAATTCAAATGTTTTTGGTTTCGCCGATAATGCAACAGTTATATGTAAAATATCTGCAGTTATATGTAAAACTGTCTGCGCCGAATGTAAAATTTGACTAACACGACACGACGAAATCATGTCGTTTTTGATTCACAAAATAACGAATAGTTTACTCTAAACCAGCAACCTTTTTGAATCAAAGCCATTTTAAATATATTGTTTGTTCAAAAAAGTAAACAGTTAACGGTGTTCATTGCCAATCATAGTTCCAAGTATTTAATTATCTACCTCACATTAGAAAAACCTAAGCCATAAAGTTTATATTTGTAAGAAATTTCTTGAAGTCTAAAGAAAAGTTCTTTATTAAGTTTTATTTGTAAATTTAAAGCTATAACATAACATATTGCATTTCACTTTCTACATAAGGCAACTAGCATTATCAATATTTTAAGCGGTATTTCCATCTTCCCGCGATAACGTGAGTAAATTGATAGCGATTATTCGTAGAGGACAAGTATTTATTGAATAGCAAATAATTATTAAATTTAGAAAATACTTGAGAAGATACTTGACTAATAACGCGAATGTTATGACTTAATCAATGACGACTTGTGCTGGTACTTAATGTGTTTATGTTCTACTTCTAATGATGATTAGATAACACTGTTAGATCCAGCTATGTATTAGAGCAGTCTCTTACCTAGCGCATTGGTCTTGAGAGTTCTGGATCAGTCGTCGTTCTATTGGTAAATACACATTAGTTGCGATAACATTATAAATACCCATTTGATATGTAATAATTATATAAATATCAGTAATTACATAATACGCTTATTTGAAACAAATTATATTTACAAAATCATTAAATAGAACAGAAGCAACCGATAATTGACTAGATAATCGGTAATGAATCGTAAAGAAGTTTATAACCGGTAATGGCATAAAGTACATTAAATTTCTCTGGAAACGTGAGCACGTTAAATATGGGTTTTAATGAACGGAATAGTGTCAAAAGATATGATTCCCTTCTCATTTCTTAATGTGCCTTTATAACTTGCGAACTATAAACTAGCTCTGAATACTAATGCAAAGTAAATTTAATGCAATGTTGCATATTTCACGTTGGAGCGACAAATTGTTGCTCGTCCCAAAAAGGATAGAGAAATAAGCAAAAAAAAAAAAAATCGAACCTTTAAACGATTAAGATTATAGTTTGCGTTTCGTATGCGATAACGTGCATTCCTAACGGGGATTTACGACGCCGTCCGGAATTCACAATTCCGGAATTAGGGCGGCGTGGGGTGGCTATATGCATATATCATCCCCGATCGAAAGAAAGTGGATGTCGCGCGGCTAAAGCCCGGGAATGATTTGAAGGTGCTTAATATGTGCCAAAGCTAGATTACGTCGGTTCGCCCATTGAATGCCGGAAACCGCATTACCAGAAGGAATAGTCTGACCTTCGTCATGACTTATGCTTTAATACAGCATATCCAGAGGATTGCAACATTGAAATGAACATTGTACAATGATTGCAGCGAGTAAAATGTATTTATTGGTAATATTAGGTTCAAATATAAGAAATATGATAATTTTAGTCGTTTGGTAACTTTTATGCGCTTCGAAAATAGCTGAGATATATTTAGCGGGAGTAAGTGTGGTTGCAGGCGCAGCCTCCATTTGGGTTATACGGTAGCAATTTTTGTTTGAGAAGAAGGGGATGGCTAAGTTGTTAGATATAAGCTTACTGTTGAGTAGATTCATCTCGTAGACGAAGTAGGTCTCCTCGGCGCTGTACCAGACTGTCCTCGACTCCGTGCGTTTAGTGCTGGAGTTGTAGTGCCTCTCCGTCTCCGACCATCTCGTGCTCGCATCTCCCTTGAACTTGATCTTGATACCTTCCAAAGAACCGGCAGTTTTTAACACTCGTATGAAGACAACAGCAACGGAAAAGAAGTATAGAAGAAATTACCTTTAACCGTTTTGTCGCTGCTGAAGGTGCATAGTAGGTGGCCGACGATCTGTTGGCCAGCGCAATAATAGCGATCGTAGTTTTCAAGGTATACATCGCATTTAGAAGGCATTTTCCACCTTCCTCCTGCCTTGCTCGGCGTCAAACCCAGGACCTTACGCAATCCGAAAGACGCGACCCGCGGAACGTTTGTTGCTTATACGCCGAGGTGTATCAACTGAATGATGAATGCGGTTGCGTTGCACTGCGCTTGGTGCTCGCCGGATAGGTAGTTAGGTAGAAAGGGTCTGATAATCAGTTCAGCATTTTTACAAACTTTTACTTATATGAATGGTTAGGTACATATGATAAGGTCTGCGATACGATCTGCATTTTTAGTTGGAATTCCAAAGAGCGGCATTACCGAGTAGGCGCAGTACAAGCTGGCGCCATTTTCATATATATCTACAACAAACAAACGCTGTTGCGCTTACTTCGACGTCCTATCCCCGTAACCATGACACTCCAGCTCTTCCGACCTTCGAAATGTAGCAGCAGACAACAACAAAACGATCAATTGGGATTCCATCGAATCAACGAATTAATTTGTCTATTAAGTTGTCTATCGATTATTTTCATTATGGACAACCATGTATACTCGATTATTATTGCATAATTCCAATTAATAAACATCTTCATCTTTAGACAAACTACAAGTTTGTATATGTTTCAACAGTTTGTGGGAATATCTAGAAACATTATAGTAATTATTTTTTATTTAATTATTTATTAATTATTTAATATATCACATTTTTTTAAATAATACAGAATAAGACTTATTCTTTGAACCACATAAAAATAATAGTTATAACCTCATAAAAAAATAGATAATTTTTAAAAATATAAAAATAATCGAATTATTTATATAACAAATACATCAAATGAAAATGAAGAACAGTACGGATTATATTTGTTATAAATACTAGTAATGGTGGTACTATTATGTAATTATTTTAAATACGCAACATAAGTCTGTGAAGCTAAAATGAGAGTAATTGTTTAAATTAATTAAGTTTAATAATCTACAAATTTTAAGATATAAAGACGTATTCTTGTAATACTAGTGTCGCCTCACAATACCATTATATAATTACTTTAAATGCGAGGTTAATGTGATAATAATTTCAAGTAATTAAAGTCTAATGTAAGTCTAAGTAATAAGTCTTAAACATTATATTTTTTCCAAGAAATGCCAACCTTATATTTAAATTAATGCATTGAAATCTATATTTGACATTTAAGCATTTCATTCATATGATTACTATACATACTCGAATCTAGAAAAAAAAAGATTAATTTGAGTATTTTTGAAATAATTAAATGTATCCAAAATCATGTGATTTTATGTTTTAATGCTGTTTGGTTTTGGTATACGTACTTACTTTTACTACACCAATGTTCAACCATATCTAACTTTAAGCCATAATTAGTAGTTTGGATTATGTGCACTGTTTGTAATTAAATCTTACAATAGAAGCAAGCAGCCATACTCTGTTGCTTATTACAAACGTTAGACACACGCCTTTGCTACAACTGACCTCCATCTTTGATATTGATTTTGACCGATGTTCTGACATTCTTAACATGCAAAAAAAAGTATGAAAAATTCCATATTTTTTTTCTGTTATTATATAATGATCGTTTATGTTTCTGTTCCATTTGTATTCAAATTTAATAAAATTGCCGCCAAATTATTTAAAATTTTCTTAATTAGTATTTTCAAAATATAGAAAAGATTGCAATTATTAAACGTTTATTAAACTTTTTCGTTTACAAACACAAATCGATTAAAATATTTTGGTTAATAATAAATGAAACATGTTTATACTTACAAATTAAGAAAACTATAATAAAAAAAAAGAATATTTATGAGAAAAAAAATAAATTATATAATTTTATTTATAAGGACGAAAATAAAACGACAAAGAGAACAGAACAATTAAGGTGTATTTACATAGAATATAAATAATATATATGTATATATAAACAACTACCATTCCATTTCTTTTCATATATATATTTTTTTAAATTATTTTGTTTAATTCGAAATGTAATTGGCTCGAGCGAAATGAAGCTATCATTATAATTGTATTTTTTTTTTCTTTGTAGTGTTTCCTTCGAGCAATAGACGTGGAAAATTCGCTAGAGGGCTAATAGAAAAGTATAAAGATTGTTTCATATATATATTTTTTTTTGTTTGTTTTTGTTTTGTCTGCAGTGTGGGAAAGGTCGGGGGTGTCATTTTTGGAAAATCTTATTGTCAAAATGCAGGTGCCCTTAATTAATACGGATATAAATAAATACTGGTGTTTCTGTTGCTTGATCCCACCCCACTTTGTTCGCACCACGCGCTACGGCCTTACTTGTCCCTTGATTATACAATATTATAGATATATATATATATATTTTTTTGTACCTGCATTCTAAGGAACACGAAAGAAAAATGCGCACGCCCTTTCCGTTTCCCATCACTTTCACTTACAAGCTAGGATCTGAGAGCGGAAATTTCCTTATTTTATATTTTCTTTTCAGGATCTCCATATAAATATATAGATTTGTTTTAGCATGGAAATCGCACACAGCAGCTCTGCCCATTGACTTCATATAGTATATGTATTGACTATTCATATATTTAAATATATATACAGTCGATTTCGCTTTATCGGGACACAGCGGCTGACTCAATTATCCGAAGTTCCATTTGTTATTTGCTCAGTTTTGTTTCCGTTCTTTAGGATTTGTCCCTAATATGGGGTTGTCCAAATTAAGCGGAATCGACTGTATATTTTTTTACTCCAAAATAATAACTCCGGTTCGATCATCACATAATGAATCCTCTCGAGAGGACCTCTACAACTACAGGTCGAGGAGGACCTCCGATACAGTTTTAAGTACGGCCCCCGCGGTGAAGGCTTCAAATTAAAATAATAAATATTAATATTAAAAACCGTATTATATAATATAAATCAGTCGACGAAACAAAAGAAAATAATAATAGTAATAATAAAATAAAAAATAAACAAAACTTAATGAAAAAAAAAATAAAATGTTCGAGAAACGTAACTTTTGGAGCGCGCACAGTCTTTGTTTATCTTTTGTCGGTTTAATCCCTTCATTACTGAAATCCCCCTTTCATCATATATCTCGTTAGTTTAAACTAAGGCAAACTTAAAAATTAAATCACATGTTGGCTTAAGGTTCCGCTAATCGTGCTCAGTGGTCGTTGAGTCTATCCTGACTTCTGCTGCTGCTTCTGGAAGTCTTCCTGTGGACGCTTTCCAGGTACGCAGCTGGTGCCCACCCTTCCGTCGTCGTTCCTAAAAGCAAATTACATTGGATTGGTTTCTAAACTTGGAGTATTTTGTACTTACCGATCACTTTAACGAACCACCATCCGGCGCAACCGATCTTTAATAATTCAACAATGTCGCCTTCTCTCATACTAACTTCGCTGCTACCGACAGCACAATAATCAGCAAGAGCTACATGCCTTCCGCTCTGAAAATAATAGATATCAGAAGAAGTCCCAATTAATACTTAACATCGAACATTCACTATTGATAATAATGTGTAAAATAAAAAAGAAAAAAAAAACATTTATCGTGTTAATATCGGAATATCGTTGCGACAGTTAAAGCCTTACGTGCAGGAGTTAGTCAAACAGATTTGTCCGAAATGGGGGGATCGTGGTAATTTTGTCCAAAACATACATACACTGTTTTGTTTCATTGCAAAGTAGCATAATTTTAAGTACTATTATTTTTGCGTCCGGCCTCCCCAACTCCAGTCTTAAATTTATTTATTGATCACTTGAACCTGGAGTGGAAGAAACTTGATCACATAATTTGGCATTCTCAGGTGTTTTGCAGCCAAATTGTGCGACAGAGGAAGAAGGAAAAATAATAATAGACAAAGAGAACAAAACACAAGAAAAAATAAAATAAAATAAAAATAATAAATAGGTAGCCATAATTAAATATATATATGTATATATAGAGAAAATAAATTGACTTACTAAACTAAACTAAGATATTTTTGGGGGGGTTTAGTAATTTGTGACATAAAATGTTGATGTATTTGTGGTGCTGCCCACAAAGAATTGCGTTAACCGACCTTTCACTGATTCCGCCCACTGCAAAGATAAAATGATAGACACCACCAAGAAAAGCAACTCGACATATTACTCAAAATCCTTAAAAAAAATAAATCACTTCTTTTTTTTTTCCTTTCATATATAAAAAAATAAATATAATTGTTATATATCAAAGGCATATTGATTATTAAATAAAGCATTAATATATAAACAAAGTGAAGGAGATCTTTCTTTCTGTATTTTCATTTGACAAGATTGCTACTTACAGGTATGGGTGTATTTCCAGAATCTTCGTCTTCGCTGTTACTGCAATCCGAGGACCAACTACTACCTTCCACAGCTTCTAATGTTTCATCCTCTATGTTACTCCTGGTGTCGTCGCAACTAAGCGTTCTAGTTGGTGCATCTGTATTGGTTACATTGTGCCTAGTTTCCCATGAAGCCGTTTGGCGGAGGTGCCTTATTAGGGGAAAACAATAACTGGTTATTAATGAACTTACAGTGTTTGTTGAAACGTACTTGTGAGGTTGCGTATGCGAGGAGTACTGTTTCGTCTTTTCGCCCTTGAGCTCCTCCAGTTGACTAATCAGCACCCTTTTGATTTCATTCACCCATGCCTGTTTTTGATCTACATTCGTCGCTTGTATTGTGTACACCTCCTGCCTCCCTTGCAGCCACACCTCGAACTTCTTGACGTCCCCTTTGACCGATTCCGTAAGACCTATCTGCGACATTTGCAGGTAATGTTTGAATTGAAAATTCGTCTTATTGTGCACGGACTTGGTCGGGGCCTTGCAGAAGAGCATGACTTTTTGGTAGAGAAAGATATGCCGCTGCATTGGTTTTATCCGTAGCCTGATATCTTTCTTGTTCTCTGCCCAGACGGAAAAGGATCCTTGCAGCAACAGATCACCCTGCTGCGATAAGTCAATCGGAAATCCGGTTATGCATATCTGGAGCATACTATCGTTCACGCATTTCAGCACGATTAGCATGGAATCCACGGCGTTCTGAAGTTCCTTACTGCCGTTTGACTCATCGGAGTATTTTAGGAGATCGGCGAGCAGTAGTTGGTATTTGGTAATGCGCTGGACCGGTTTCAGCAGGTAAGCGGCTAGAGGCAGCTTATGGCCCAATTTGCGTTGGCACGCTAGGAAAAACTGGTTGTTCTCCGCCAGAGTCTCGCGGTATTGCTCGGAGCGTGGGATGTTTTGGCAATAGTAACTGTACAGCTGATAGAAAAGATCCCTCTGTGGATAAGAATCAAGAGGAATGTGTGTAGTAGAAACACCGGTTATTAGGTTCTTATTTATTACCCGCTGGACGAAGCAGAGAGAGACCAGGTCGATGGACGAGATACAGTTCTCGAGGTCCTTCAGGAACATATTCGCATGGAAATTGTATATCTCCTCGATGTTACCGAAGATCACGTCCAGTTTTTCCAGGAGTCCTGCCGGTAGCAGATGCTGCATCTCTTTTGCGCTCGCCTCCATTTTGTAACCCTGTAAACATAATTCATTTTATCTATGACCTTCCTTGACCAGGAATTGTAACGGGTCATACTTTTATGATGACAGCTAACTCTGCCACGTAGACCCTTTCCGTTTCCAGGAGCTCGGCTATCACGTGGCCCTGCTTCACTTTATTGATCTCGTCCTGGGCAGGATCGAAATCCGGGGACGTCGCGTCCGTGGATTCGCCCGAAATCGAATTCGTCCCAGCGCTTGAGTCCATCTATAAAAGAACATTAAAAAAACCATCAAACAAAATCCAAATATCATGTTACATAAAACTTATTATATATAAAAATACTCTCAAAATCATGTATACAAAGCAAATTAAATTTGACACCAAAGAAAAAAATCGTAAAAAGGGGTTGCCAAATTTGGACCACTATCGTAATTCGACTTATATTGCGTATTTGTAACCAATATGTCCAAATAAAGTTGATAAATACAATAAGTTCTATGACAAAGCATCTCGTGGTCACAATTAATGTTTGTTATTATATAAGTCTGATAATATTTAGTCTGTTCTAAAAAAAGTAGAGTTTATTATAATTATTTTCATTGATATCATTGAAAATTAGGATCATGTATAGATGTTGCCTAAATTATACATGTCCTGATAAAGCCCAGAAGTTGTAATAACAAATAATTGAAATATATATTCCAATTAGAGGAATTAAAAAAATAGAATAGAATAAAATAATTAAATTAAATTTTTTGTTCGCTAGTATTGTTGCGGTCTAAAATGTGTAAAAAAATAAGATTTTACGGTATTATATATAAAATCCGCGTTTTGACTCGGCCACCTCTAGAATGCCGTTACTTCTTCATGATTGTATGTACATAATTTAAAGGCTTATTATGTTGTTGTATAAAGACGCATACAAAATGTTAAAACCCGTTCTTCTACAAAGTTTAAACTGAGAATTTTAAGAAATTTGTCAAATGGTATTATATTTTTTTTCGTCATGTGGCTTCTTCTTTTTCTATTGGACCGCAACGACCTCTTTGGCCTTTCGGAGGTCGACTTCCATTGGCGTTGCCAGTTTTGTTGTTGTTCCCGTTTCGTTGCAAATGCGGTTTGAGTCCATCCACTCTCCAAGTTTCGAAAGAATCGATTTCCCAAAATAAAGCACTACAGAAGCTGCGGTTGAGACGTGGGTGGAGGATTGTATAGAATCCCCTTGATCATCCAAAGCGAATCCTGAACGTACCAAAAATACTGACAGTGGCTTGGCAAACGACAGCGCCGGTTCTATTTACCGCTTCTGCCTGCATTCCTGAAGTTGCGATTTCTCTCCAGATCATTTTTGCACTTTCCCACATCGAAAATTTCTAAACAGAGCCCGTAGCTATAACGGGCCCCTTGCCTCCCTTCTGTTCCCATCTTCCGTGCGTTACGAAACCGAAACGCGCGCGTCTTCTGAAATTCCAAACGCGGCGTTATGCAACGCGCGGAATTTCAATAAAATTCGAGTTCGATACTGCACCGCATAGTTATACAGTTATGGCGTAATTAGTTTACGAAAATAGACGAGCTTCGGGTTGTGAGACAAAGCAGCAACGCAATGCGAGGGACCGGCGATTATTAATTGGCCATTGTTCTTAATCCATTAAATCCATATCCGAATACAGTTAAATTCTAAAGCGCAATCGTGTGTTTTTACTCAATGATACAGTTATATCACCAGACATTATAGCTTAATTTAATATAAGAAACCTCTCTTAATTTACGGCAGTCAATTGCTTCTTCTTTCTAATGCTATAATCAGCAAACTTGATCCTAATTAAGCAATAAAGCGAAGCCCCATTACACGAATCAATCCAAGTACACTAAGAGAATATATATATAAACAGTTTTATTTTTTTTTCCTAACGAGTTTGATCAATAATAATTTAAGTTTAATTTTAACCAAAACTCTAAAATTTCCATAGAATCAAGTTTTTATGTATATTAAATTTATCTGTAAACGATTACAGATTTTTTTTTTCTTAATTATAAAATGTTTGTACTAAAATTCCCAAGTTTAGAAGTGAAAAAAGTAAGTTTTATACGAAATGGTAAATAAATAAATATATAAAACAAAACATATTTTGTAGTCTCGTGACTAACAAATAAGAAATAATCAACTTTTTTAACAAATAACCTATTTCATTTTATTATTACTTTTACTTCTCAAACTTTTCATAAATTGGAAAAAAATGTAAAAAAAAACTCGGTTTATAGGTCTTTGTTCCCATTTTCCCAAAAGTTTACTTGTTACTTCATGAATATCAGTCAACAATTGTTTATTGTTTATCTATTAGGAATTGTATTTTCACTTATCTCCATTTATGTAAGTTGATTGCATTTAGCGTTCTACTAATGACTTATATAAAACTGTACAAACATTAACCATTATTGGTGTATACTAATGAGTATCACATGCACATGTTAAACTTAAATCAAAGTAACAAAAACATACTTTCGAACTCCATTTCAAGAGTTAAGCAACTTTTGTTCAGTGACAACTGTTAACACCTTACAATTAAGATGTAATAATCACATGGGTGAATTTAGGCAAGGTCTGAAACCACTTTCAATCAAAGACCATAAAAATCTAACTAACTAAAACTTTAATTAATTTGCTTAACCCTTATATTGATGTTGTTAGTTTTGTTAATATATTTTTTTGGTAATGTTAGAAAACTTTTTCTTCTTCTAGTAATAATTTGAGAAAAGATCATCTGTTCACTTATTTACATATTTTGAAATATTTATGTTGGAAATGCTAATTTAGACAGCCAATAAAGACTGTTAGTAAATTACATGATTTCTTACGGGACATATGATTACGTAACTATAAATATTAGAAACTTATCGATACTGCAACGGATCTTTAAGGCAATGATGATATGGTTCAATGATTTTACCACTACTAAGCTATATAGAATACAGTTAAAGAATATATTTGTAAAACTTACTGTTCTTCAAATAAAATTATTTCTATTTAGTCTACAAAATCCTAATTTTACATCATTTTTTTTTTACAATTTTTCAAATAAAAATATGTTTGTTTTAAATATTATTAGTGTGAATTGGTTAAATTATTTTCATTAGCATATATTGGAAATCAATAATATTTGTATTAGATTTAAATTTAATTAAAAATATTTGTAGATCTAAACTTCTTTTGATTAATCAAAATCTTACATATTATACCGAAATATCATTTCTTTGTATTAACTTCGAATACGTAATTACTAAAATATTCATTGAAATATCAAAAACATAAATAAATTAATGACATATGCATGGATTTAAATATAAATAAAAACAAGTATTCTAAACATCCTGCGTTCAAGTGCCAACTGTTCTCTTACGTAAACTTCGAAATCGTTATGTTTTTTTAATCAGTCGAGTGGCACTATCACAGTTTATGTTGTGAAATATTGTAATGAATGAAGGAAGCGGAAAATCTAACAAGGTGGTCCTCAGGAGTCACGACCCAAATCTGGGTCATTTTAGTTTGGATCACTGAACACTTTACAAAATTTTAGTTATTCGATTATTTTCCGCAAATCATATTTTTTTTATCACAGGTAAAAATATAGTAGTTATAAAACTGAAAATAATTGGGCTAAAAGATTTACAATTTTTTTTTGTAAATGTTTTGTAAAAGTTCAATTTTCTTGTTAATAAATCTCTGAAAATTGACTGAAATGTAATGTTAGAAATGTAAACAAACTGAATATTTATGCAATATCGTTCTAAATATTATTATTCAATTAATATATAACATTTTTTATAAATATTTTTAGTTTAAAAAAAAATATGTTCTGCTAATAAAATTTATAATAACTTATGTTATGTTATCTATAGAATATGTCTATATATTAATTTTTGATGTGGTTGGCGTAAGGTTGTTAGCCTGAAGAATCACGTTTAATTCAATTTCGAATCAATCCGTTTGTTTGCATTCGCATTGAATAGTAAAGCTCGCCTCAAGAACTGGAGAAGAATGGCAAGGCAAGCAAATAGCCGTGTGCATTGTGCCCATACACAATACTAGCAAACTGGAGATAGAATCGTATATAAATAAGAAATTAATTAAATTCTCTATAGAAACGAGTCACAATAGGCTATCGACCCCCCAACGATACTTTGTAGCAGCTCTTTGAAGCACAAAGCGAGAAAAAGACTTACGCAATGTCCACAGCATCTGAATTTCCGATTCGTGTGACATAAGTGCAGGGACGTCGCTTTTGGGTGTCCAGGAGTTTCGTGTAAACGATACGACGGATTATGGTGTTTAGAAAACGGCTTCGGTAGAAAGTAAATGCATTTTTTTTTGATGACATAACACTTTCAGCTATCTCGAGCAGTTTCACGTTACGTTATATAAGAGCCGGATTTTTTGTTTTGGTTCTTTGCAAGTTTGTTTGATTTAGTTAAAGTAAAATCTTCAATGCACATACTTCTTTTAATCATTTAATCATTTAATGCAATGCAAATTAAATTCGTATATAATACGTACACTTTATTATTAAATTAAATTGCAAAAAAAAAACTTGACAAAAAAGTATTTAAAAAAAATAATTTTGTCCACCAATTTTTTAGAATTGATTTTGCTAAATTAGTATATTTTGAAATTTACTTAACAGTTTCTTTATAGTCCAGACTCGATCGAACCCGAATTATTACTATATATAATTTTTTTTAAATCAATAATTTGATAAAAAAAAATGTCTTTCATTATTTTTGTTTTTTTTTTAATTTATAAAATGAGTGAATATTTTTATTTACAAGACTAAAAATTTGTCTTCTGTCACGCTTGTTCAATATTGAAAATGACATTTTCTATCACCTCTGTTCTTGCGAGATATTTTGTGTGTATTATTTTCATAATTTTACAGATGTATCTTTTTGTACAGTAATAATTCGAACAATATGTAGACGAATTATGTTTTCATAAGTTGACATATTAAATATAATTTAATACACAGACGACACTTCAACGTATCAAAAAAATAAATTTCTTAATAATTTTTGAAGATTTGGCTCATGATTATTGTCCTTTTGTCCATAATTAAATTTTTTTTTTCTAAAAAAATCCATATTTTTTTGGTGCGTCTTATGGTCAGAAAAATAGATAATATTTTATTTTTACAATAAAATAATCAGTGGTTAGTTTACATATTTTATAAAATTAATTTTAGAACAATTGAAAATTGAAAAAAAAAATC